CACCCCCACCCACACACACACACACACACACACACACACACACACACACACACACACACACACACAATGTGATTACTTCACAGGGAGATACTGCTCTTGCTAAATGTCTCACATCCCCCTTTCAGTGCTCCTCTCTGTTTTCTCTCCGCCACAAAACCCCCAGTGACACACACACAGTCCAGCAACCCACCCACTTACCGTCGGTGAGCGTTTGGAAGAGCATATCCTTGCTGTAGGCACCATATCCAGCCACAGTGCGGGCCCTCACCTGGACCACGTATCCGGTCCCTGGCCTCAGACCCTCCAGAACCACATTGGGAATCTTGCTCTGGACCATTGAACTGTTCAGCGATGAGGACAGGGACTGGAAGGAAGCATTGAAGGAGATGAATATGTTTCACAGCGAGACGGCAGCCAATAACACTTCTACAGTCACAGATCCAGTTCCAAGAAATAAAAACAAAATTTGATACACCTCCATTACAAATACTAAAGAAATGTATTTCTATGTATACCAGCCATTCTCAGTGTGATAAACTAACAGTAAAAAATGTTGGTCCAAATTGAGATGGAAAGATAATGGAGGTGAATCAAATTTTGTTTTTCTCAAATATTTTTTCCAGAAGCATTGTCCAAGAGTTATCCACATTCCCTTAGAATGAATGTGTTTTATTGGAACTACTTTCTACTGAAAGAAAATCAATGGAAACTTTTACTCTTATTCTCTACACAAGATTGAAAAGCTTTTTGTGTCCTTGCTGCTTTATAGTTTCAACTCTCCACCACGTCCAGGCGAGCATCATTGATGGGTATGATCAGAAGTTTGTAACCACACACACAACAGACATGGTGTAATGACACAGCCAGGAGTATACTCCTGTACCACAGCAGTAAGGTGACAAGTAAAACCACTTAATGAAAATAGCGAGAGTACTTTTTCACCTGCTGTTATTGGCTCTTTATAGGGAAGTAGTACCAAGCCATGTCTCCAAGTGTAATTAAATAAAAGCTCAACAGCAAATTGAGCAGACCAACAAAATGTACTCTAGAAAATCCATAGTGTTAGATGTAAACAGATGGGATTGGAAGTAGTGTGTTCTGAATAAATTGTCCCTATGAAAACTGGTGATAGTAAGTTCTACAGAGTTACTGGGTCATTGTTTCTGGGAAGACACATTGCCATTACTTTTTACTTTGTTCAGAGTTTTGTGCACCACAAACAAAATTCCATTTACTCCATTTAGCCAGAGTGGTGACAGAGGAAAAGACAAAAGGGCATAATTCAAAGCCCCGGCACATACAACCTAAACTGTTTGAAATGCAAGACACCAGTATAAAAAAAAAGGTTTTCTTTCAGTCATTTTGTCCAGATGAACCTTCCCCATATTTTCTAAAAGAATGTTCTTTGACCAGTTCTTTCATCCATCTCCTTCAAATAACTGAGTGATAATGCAGTTAATTAGTTTTTGTCCACAGAGAAAGGTCTACCGGAGCATCTGGGCCTCTTGCTGCTCCTGAGGTGAATCAGGCTAAGCTACAACCTTTTACCTCTATCTTTCTACGCTGTCCTTCTATGCTTCCTCTCCCCCATTTCTTTCAGATAAGAAGGGTTTTTACTGTGGCAATATCGAAAAGGTCCAGAGGGAACGACAGATATGGTGTGGGGAAGGCTTGAAAGGACGGGGGAGGGATCCATGCTGTGAGGTTGAAGGAGGTGGAGGGGTGGACAGCAGAGCGAGGAGGAGAGGAACAGAGATGAGGACGATGATGAGGAGAACAGTTCAGGAGGGAAGGAAGTGTACGGGTGGACAAAGGGGGTTATCAAAGGAGGGCATGCACATGAATACAAATGGGTTAATCATGAGTGTCTTTTTATTAATGTTATTAATGTTATCATTGTAAATCTTAATTACACCCCCCTTGATCTTCTTGAACCCCTATCTTTATTGGCACTTTAAAGAAATAAGATGTTTTATGTGATGTACTAGTGTGATTCCTGTTTACACAAAGTACTTTGGTGTACTGCATCTAACATCAATAGGCTATAATCTTATTTTATCTTTATATTTAATCCTTTATCTGCACATATTTTATTCCATTCCATTTCAATGTAAATACTGCTTTATTTTACTATATTTCTTCTTATTTTTTAATGTTATTATAGTGTTCTTAAAATAGTTCTCTATCTGTGTTTTTATTATTTTACTTTTATGTATGCATCACGACACCAATTCAAATTCCTCGTACGTGTCAACCTACCTGGTAATAAACCTGTTTCTGATTCTGAATTGCTAAACTTTTTAAATACTGTAGAAAAACTGTCCAGAGTCTTCTGTCCAAATTAGGACACAACACATGGACAGCTACAGAATGAGCTGGGAGAAAAGAATAGAGTTATACCTGGAGAAAATGGGGGTAGTGTGTTGTGGTGGGGCTTGGATTTGAAGGTGTGTGTGTGCAGTGGGGCGGAGGGGGGCTCTATGCTTGCCACGGTGAGAAGGTCAGGGGGCAACCCATCTGGGAAGGTCTGGAAGCCAGAGATAAGTATTGAGGGAAAATCCTGCCTCCCTGTGCCATATCAAATTTACAACATTAAAACCTCATTATCTAAAGAGTCACTATGAGGGGAGGGAGGGGAGGGAAGGAAGGTGGAGAAATGGCGGTACAGTTCAGCTGTCTGGTAAGAAAAACCTGTCCTCTCTCCAGGCTTATCAAACCGCTCCCAGAGGACTTCTTCATTTGAGCTAAAATTAGTCGCTTCATTTGGTTGGCTTGTCTTCAGTGAAACATGTAGTATTCCTCCCTTCTTATGATGTATATCAAGGAAGAATAATGAAAAGGAGAAACAATGAAATAACTCATAATGGCCAGCTTTTGATTCTTGGTCATAATTGGCTTCCATGTTAAATAATGTTAAAGCACAGGCAGCACTATATAAGGCCGACTTAGAGTAAAGCCGTTGCCCTGATTTCGACAAAGAAAGTTTTTATCAGTGACAGTCAGACTGCAGCGACAGAGCATGTCTCAGCGAGTGCAGCTCCTCACACTCTGTCCTCTACTCTAACTCTAACTCACTATAATTGCTCTCCGAGCTGCATGATGCTCAACTCTCTCCCTCTGCTTTTCTCCATCCTTTCCTGGAACTTTGCTTATAACCCCCCCCCCAGCCTCTTGAGATGTATTTGTATTGTTAAGGTTTTCTTTTTTCTGTCACATTATTCCCCGGTCACCAAGTACTTCTTAAATAGTTCACAGCATGAGCTTTCCAGGTGATTTCCTATAATATTGTGGATAGTCTCACATTTAGAGAGCCTCTCTCCCATATACATACATTTCTTGTTTAAATAAGGTTTTTTTTAAGCTACGTGTTTCATATAAGCATTTTCTGATCCATCACCTTCATACTGTACATACAAAAAAAAAGAGTTGTCTCTTGGTAGGATTCACATTACATTACGAGACGGAACACATTTAAGTCGTTTAAGTTTAAGTTGAGTGCTGTTGTTTATGTGCTGTTGACAGTCAACACTTTATATTTGAACTACAGTTCAAGAGCTCTGCAGAGTTGAATCTGCAGTGTTTTCCCATGAACATAAAAACACGTTTTGATAATGGCATTCATGCATTTCACAGCTAAATATATTTGTGAATCCTATTTCATGAATAAAAAGAGGAATGAGGAAAGATGCAACTCAGCTTTCATTATACAAAACCTTTGACAGTGAATCTGAGTTGACTATTTTAGTAGCATTTCAAAATGTGTGAGTAAGATACGAATAAAATGTTTTTGAATATAATACCAAAAATATTATATTCGTACTTTATGCATATACCAGCATGCATCAATGTTTATGCTATTAACCCTCCTCTTATTGTAAAGTGACTTTGAGTCTATGAAAAGTTCTATAGAAATACAATTTATTATTATTTCATTTGAAGCATAAAAAAAAACATAAATGCAAAAGAGTATAATAATTAACATTAGAATAAGAATGAATATTAATGAACAGTTGTGTCAGTGCTGTATTTAGTTACAGGATTAAAGATATTAGACTTAGCCCGCAATGAACCAAGAGAAGAAACAACAATAATAAAACTAAAAACACTTCCGCTTCCCCTTTGCCACACAGTGACAAGATATCCATATGGTGTGCTGCAAAACAATTGGACTCTTTGGAGGGTTTTAACCGGAACAATAGATAAAAGAAAGCCAGCTGCGAATACTCTTGAGCCTTTACAGTTTGTAGTTATGATGTTATCTCAGTATTTTATCGAGTTATGGAGGCACTAACTCACTGTCATTAGAAATAAAGGCAGAGACTAGCAGTGGTATCCCAAAAAAAATGCTCAAAACTATTTTCTTCTCTTTAAAAAAAAAAAGGAGATAAATGGCAGGAAATCAAATGTGGGCAGTGGATGAGGCGGCATGTTGTTCTTTCTGGTGTACAGTATCTCACACAAACACTTGTAGGTGCTTTGCACTTTGTTTTTAATCTGTTTGCAGTGAAAGTCTATCTCTTTTTGCAGCCGTTGGCTCTGCTTCTGAAAAGATTTGCTCAGCTTCGGGTGATAGATACGCTTTTAATTTAACTTTCAAGCTCCAAAAACATTGCTTTCCACTGACTCAATTACAAAGAAGACAAGATATGCAGTCCCGGTTTGTCCCCTCAATGGAGTACTTTTTATGTCCCGGAGCAGCAGTCTTTGAGGAGAAAGCAATCAGCTCCTTCACGTTTCACCCCTGAATCTGAGGCATTTATTGGTGACCTGGAATTGACATTCTTTGTGCCGGATAGTTTGATAATTGGACTCTGGCAGTGAAGTGTTTTGTACCTTTAATCTGCTGGTACACACTAGTAAGGACAATGTCCACTACAGGGCAGCTGGAGGGTTACAGTCGGACAGTCTTTTTTACGCAGCAGAGGAGTAGGACATTTGATTTCAGGAGCATCCACAATAGCGAGTAAATTGGTGCTTCTTTCCCCTCGTCTTCAAGTGATTCAGCTACAAAACGAGCTTACAGTGCTCTCAAGATATTGACAGACACAGCAAGAAGTGAGGTGACATTTTACCATCATATTCACTCTCTGATCCCTTTTGCAAAACAGTGAAAACAAGCCAATGAAATAGGGTAAAACATCTGGAGGGAGATCGGCTGCTTCTTTGCATAAAAAGGAGCCGGTTGAGGTGGTTTGGGCATCTGATAAGGATGATTCCTGGGTGCATCATCTTGAAGGATTTCTGGGCAGATCAAAACTGGCACAGTGGGAGACCCTAGGGTAGAACCAGAACACGCTGAAAGATCATATCTCAGCCGGCTTGAGGTGCTGCAAGAAGTTCCTCTTGAAGTCTTGAGACGTTTCCCTTTGATTCTTATCAAAGTGGTCAAAGTGCAAAGCATGTAGCCAAGTTCTCAAGAGTTTGGTTTAAGGACATTAAGGCACTTCTCAATAAGCACATTATATGTCTGTGAGTTCATCTTTTGATCATTGGCAATGGCAAAGAAGGTTTCATAAAGGAAGGTTTGAAATAAAAGGCAGTCTGTGATGTCGTTTGGCAAAGATCGAGACACCAAGGTCAGATCAACAGTGAGCTCAGGAGATGAATGTAGAAAATCATTTCACTCAACAAACAATGCAGCAATATGAGTGGCTGCAGTCCACAAACACTACATTCCTCCCAATGGATATTGGATTATGTGTGACAATTGAGCCTATGATGAAAAACTGCATCCAAGCTTTAACATGATATCATGAGAGAATGAACATACATATTCAGGACATGACAACAGTCAGGGTAACATTGTGTTTTTGGTCTAATTTATGTTTTTCTATATCACTGTTATTTTGTATATATTGATTGTTGTGGTTTTATGTATGTCTTAATGTGTGCATATGTATAAATGTGTCTGATTGTGTATATATATATACTGTAGGTATATATACATATTTTTATATATATTTGTATTTTGTATTTGGGATTGTGGGAAACGGTATTTCGATCTCTCTGTCTGACAATAAAGTCGACTTTGACTGTCCATTATTGTCTGAATATTTTTTCCTTTTAGAAATATAATAGTGATATGTTGACGGTACTAGACAGTAGACATACAACATGAGTTGCTTGACCAATTTAAAAAGACCAAAAAAAAAAAAAAAGGTATTAATTGGATCTCCCAGAGCCAACAGACCATAATTAGATTCCATTTAGCGTCATACAGCTTATGAAACCATGGCCCCTTGAACTAAATCAGCGGTTCATGGAAGAAAGATTCACAGCTTTGTAAGATAAAATAAATCAATAAACCTTTCTTTCATAATTTAGTTGAAGTGATGTAGGCTTAGGTTTGACAGGACCTCACTGTGGCCACTTATTAATGAATAGATGCTCTTTTTTTCTACAACAGTACAACAATTGATGTGTGCTGGAACAAAGAGAGGCACTCCGTCACCGTGAATCCCTGTCAGTTTACGACAGGACCCAAGAGATATGAATTTGTGACTCTAAGATCAATGGAGACTTATTAGGAAATGACATTGTATAAAAGATAAAGCATGAACCCAACACTTTCATTGACATAAAGTGCGAGTGGGAGAGAAAAATACCTCAATAACAGCAATTATAAATCCAAGCATGTTGACAGGTGTCTGCCGTCCACCATCTTTTAATAATCCTCACGTCATATCAATGAGGAGCATTCACCACATCCATCTTCTTATATAATGCCAAGTGGAATATTACAATAATTAGACATTATTGAGTGATTTGTATTATTACTTTGAGAGACATTGTTTTAAATGGATACATGTAACAACCAATAAGCCACACACACCACATCTGTCATTGTGTCACATTTCTTTGTTTGCACCACTAAGGTCTTACAGTGGACAATGCTGTATTAATGTAATCATTTCCGTTATTTGGATAAGTAGATGAATACATATCTCACACATTATGATAACCTGATTCAGCAACACAAGAGGGAATAACTCCCACACACTGTGTTATTTAAATTAGGTCAACTCCAGTTGTGCTATCAGGTAAAACCTACAATTATCCTTGCATGCCTTTGCATAGCTGTATTATTCCACACATATTATGGTTATTTTATCAATGAAAAAAATGCTTTAATAAAATGTTGAATACTGTTACTTTGATCTCATTGGGCGTATTTATTTATTTCTATTTATTTAACTCTTGGAGGGTCTGGGGTTGTTTTATAGATCTTTTTGTTATCCTCTATTTGTGTTTGACAATATTTTATTAAACATGTATTAAATGCTTTATTTATTTTGTAAAGGAATTGACATTTTGAAAATACCCATTTGCTTATTTTGCTAAGAATTACCTGAGATCATTGTTACCACTCCTGTACAGGTTTGTTCATTATGAAAGTGGAGCCTGAAAGCAGTTAGCTTATCTTAGCATAAAGACTGGCTTAACTGGCTCTGTCGAGAGGTAAAAACATCTGCTTACCAGAACTTCTGAAGCTCACTGATTAACCAATTATATCTTGAAAAACTAAGTAACTGTCAACAATGTTTTTACAACAACATGTTAGCAGCATCCGGACTAAAACAACTAGATTCAGAGACAGTTTCATACCACAGGCAATAAGACTGCTAAACACCTGAACTGTTGAAACAACATCCATAACATTCATCTGCTACTTGGTAATTATTTATAGACTCTTATTGCACTATTTCACCACACACACACACACACACACACACACACACACACTACTTGCACTATATTTTTCTGTGTATCTGTGTTATTGTGTTGCACTGTTGGAGAAGCCTGTGACCTAAGATTTTCATCGGCATAACTACACTGTAGCTATGTTCGTATGACAAAATAAAGAACCTTGAACCTTGTGGTTTTACTGGATGGTAATGTGCCCCAATATGTATTTGCCAATGAAAAACCTATAAACAAATAATAGTGTGTAACATTTGGATGAGCAGCTTAGAAGATTTTTAACCATGCACTGACCCCATCTAGTTGTCCACTTGTATCCAATCGTCATGCTAAGCTAAACTAAACTAAGCTAACTGTTTCCTGGTTATTGCTATTCAATGTGTGCAGGTTGCAATTTTTTATTTTTTATTAAGTACAATAATTTTCTTTGTCCGATTACTTGGATGACAACGTGTATGCTTCTTAGGATGTTTTATTCATCTGACCTAATGTCTAGTGATCCTTTGATTGGTTAGTTTACCCATATACTGTATTAGTACAGACCTAATGAACTGTTGCGACTTTTCGTCCATATTCCTGAACATGGGCAGACATATTGTAAAGGATCAAGCATGCAGTATTATTTTCCCTTATTATTAAAGTTCTGTATGAAGCAGTGAGACTGTTGCTGCTTCTCCTGATAATAGATGACTCCGATGTAGTTGATATTGATTCTCCTGTTTTTATCGACTAATGGATTACTGTCTGTGACCATAACAGCACAGAAGCACAGACAAACACACACAAACATTTATCATCCCACTCTACCTTGTCAAAGTATAGTATCTCGTAGTCGAGGATAATTCCGTTGGGCTGCTCGGGCGGTGGCCATGACAACGAGAAACTGCGACTAGTTGAACTCACTTGGTGCATTATGGGAACTACAGAGGGAGCTGTTAAAAAACACACACACAAGCACACACAATCAATTAGGCAGTTAAACTATTCGCTTACATGCTTTAACCCCATAAATATGGAAATATAGTGTGTAATGTAATGAGATATTGCCAAGGGTTATATACACCCTGACGAGAAAAATGTTTACGCATCCAGCCTCGTTAAAACAAATTACTGCACTTGTCACTGATGGGGAAGCATGAGTTATGTCTGCAATGCATTTTCACTCATAATTTTAAGAACCAGAAGCTCTTGGCTATAATATATTTTCATGGTTTTGCCTCCTGGATCTTTTTACGAGTTGTTTTTCATCACATTTGTACAGTACTTCACTTGAGAGGCTACACTGAAGAGAGGAAGACGCGAGGATTGATACTACACCAGGTAAAAGTATCAAATTGATGTTTGCTATATTGAGAATGTATACATCTCCCAAAGTCATTAGGGGATCATAGGCTGCCAAAAAACTCAGTAAATGCTGTGATTCCTCAAAAATGGAGTACTTCCTCTGTAGTCATAATTTGAGTGAGCTGTCACTTTAAAAAGACTCATTTTAACTTTGTCAAAATGTATATTTTATAGGTTTCGCTGTATGTGGAGTGAGTTCCATGTCCTCAGGTCCCATGAAATACACTCAAACACGTTGCATAATTTAAACCCCCTGGTGCAATAAACCGGAAAATAAATCAGTTTTTGTCGAGTTCTAAAAGATTTCAGGGATAAGAGAGTTCTGCATCCGGCAGCAGTTACAAATGCGTTCAGAAAGCAGCAGGTGACAATGGATCATGTTTCGGTTTGGAATGAGCCTGGGTTGCTGTAGATGAGGTAAATGATGTGTTTTCCATCGGAGCAAAGCAGCTATTAAATCTAAATTTGGTAGCAGTGGAAATATCACTTGTGTCTGTCTCTATAAAGTATTGATTGAGCTGTAACTCAGCTCACTTTATAGTCTCTGAGAATTACAGTGTCAGAGACAGAGGGAGGGGGGGGATAGAGAAGGGAGGGCAGGGAGAGGGGATACAGGCAGGAAAAAGAGAACAGAGAGCGAGGGGCAGAGGGAAAGAGGAAAACAGGATGAAGGCTGTGAATATGCAGGAAAGACAGAGAAGAGGCGACAGAGAAAGAGAGAGAGAGATGACAAGCTTATAACATGTTTTATGAATAAAAAAAGCTGCAGCTCAATTTCCTTTATCCCCCTAGCCACCCCTCGCATAATCCTCTGTGCCCCAGGGTATGCTTACACACACAAACACAGATGTTTGCACACAGTTTTACGCACTCACCCGCCTGATTGGTTGTAATGTTGATTGACAGTTGTTGGGCGGGATAAGGGCTTTTGTTGGATACTCCGTTGACTGCCTGTAGGGTAAAAAGTGTAATGGTCAGATTATCAATCTTAAAGACATTAACCCCCATAGTAACTGTAGCTAGGACTTTTTTTCATCTCACAACATTTACAACAGTAGCACATTTTACACTCCCAAGTAATCCCTAAATCAATAGTTCCTTGATTTTAGGTGGAGATACACAAAAAGAGGTTTCTCATTTCTCAGCAGCAACACATTTTACTGTCTGATCTAACAGCTTAGGGGCAATTTCACAAAGAATGTATTGTGGTCACTGACAGCACGATAAAGTGTGAATCCTTTGCCAGTGCTATCTTCTCTGTCTCACTGTCCTATTCTCAAAAGATATTGCGCTAACGACATTATAGCCTACATGCCCAAAACGCTTTACTGAGTGCAATTGCAATTTTCTATCAGGGAGATGGAGGAAATAATTCCTTTCTGGCTTTTGTGTCTCTTTTTCTTCTTTTCATGTATTCTCAGAAATGTCACGTAGAAGAGTTGTGTTCATTTTATTTTTACAACACTTCTTTAGACAACTGTCACTGCATTCCAAAATAAAATGACATTGAGTCCGGCTACAATCCCTGCTGCTCTAAACACTGCAAAGTCCAGGCATGATTTACTTTATAGTCTAAAAGCGCTTCAGTTACTATCAACGCTCTAAAGACGCTATTCATTTCACTGTAATTCTTTGGGCTCTAGCTTAGTTTTTTTAACGAGGCTCGTTTGAATACAAAAGGGCAATTTTAAGGAAAATATGTTAGCACAGGAACATCTAGGCGCCATTTGCTTGCTACACAATTAGGGGTGAATTTCACCCTTATGCGGGGGCTTTAAGGATTACACAGTTTGATTTGTTTTCTATTTGTGAAGGTTAAGTGGCCCCAAAAGCTGTACAATCCTCAATTGGTTGAAAACTCATGAACTGATGTTAAAATTAACTGCTTTAATGTTTCCCGCTGACACATCTTAAAAGAAAACCTTGTCAATTAATGTTAAATACAAGATATCATTAACTTCTCCAGTGAACATGTAGGAGACATGGAAAACATCAGCATTATTATTTTATTTTACTATAGAGGTTTTGTGTTTTAGGAGAATAATAATGAACATTGTAATATCCAGCCATTATTTATGAATACGATAACCCTGTTAGGCTGCTTAGCTTACACACTTGAACAAGCAAGACATATTATATATATTTCCTGCTTTTGGTGGAACTTATTTTACTTCAGTGTAGAAAGGCTGTAAATGTTTTCATAAAACTGTCTCAGTGTCTTTCTCATCTCACCAACACAAAGGCACAATTAAATGGTTCCGAGTGTGTTTAAAGACCACCTAATTATCTGCCACATGTTGTTTGTCGTGAGCTCAGTAAATCATTTTGACAGTCGGAACAATGTCTTTAGTTACAGCAAATCATTAAACCAAGGCGTGGCAATGGGTAATGATAGCTTAATGGCTTACACCAAGCTCTAATTCTATAATGTTGTGTTGTTTCTTTATAATTTCACATTTTATGTTTTATCTTTCCTTTTACATCTAAAAAGGATTAAAATATATCAGTTTGCCAAATGTGTCTACATTGCACCACCAGTATTTTAAACAGATAGTTATTGCATCAATGTAGAATAACTTTTTTGATGTAGCCATTTGGAAGAAACGGATGGATGTCTCAATGGATATTCACTTCCGTGTGACTGCCTTCAGGAAACACATCATATTATAATCGATACTTTCACAATCAGGACAGTGTTTTAGACATTCGTTCATACATCAGTATAGATGTATACGTCCCATACTTTCTTAATCAATCAACTCACCAATTGGGCCACACTACTGAATACAAAAATCATTAACTATATGTCATAAGACTAGATTTTACAGGTCTGAATTGGAGAATTTAAGCAACATACTTCCTTACCTTCACAATTACAAAGCAGTAGACCTTGATTGAAACACCCAGCCTTGATGTTAAAGGCGATCAATTGTAGGGGGGGGGGGAGACATGATATTACTTGAAATTGTGCATTAAAGCCTCCATGTCAGCAATCATCTTTGCAGCCTCAGTATCCTTGAACACCACGGGGAATATCTGGCAGCAATATGCATATTAAAACATGAGTTCACAACACACTAGTTTAAAAAGTATAATTTTTGTATAGTTTTCATTAAAAGTATAATGAATTTTTAGAGAAGCATCTTCATATTTTGACCAGTGATCAACTTTATAAACATGAATGTCTTCAACATTGTGTAACTAGTAGTGTGAACTATTTAAGGAACTATCCACTGATATACTCTTCGTCTGTTCTGCAGGCTTGGTATTTGTTTTGCAGCTTGAATATCCTTTATTTACAACAGTTACAGAAATTAAATTGCAACCTTGAGTTTTAGAGCTATGAAGTATTGAATAGTATTGTGAAGAATTGTGTAATTAGAAATCAATATTGTCAAGATCGACAAAAGAGAAGCAGGGTGATTTTTGAAATGTTTTCTTAATGATTTTTGATACATTTTTTCAAAGGTTCTTGTGATTCATGAGAGCCATTGGTGTCCATTGCAACTGTTGTGAAACCACAGAAAAGGCACGTTAACTTTCAACACATTTAAAGCCTAAAGCTTGTGGTACTCCAAATAAAGATTTCCATTCGAGCCTCAAAAAAGCCCTTCTCTCTGCGCAAAGGACCAACCTGAATTTCGAAGGTGTATGATGTGTGGGCCCGCAGCTTGCTGATCTCCACCATCGTTTCCTTTAACCCTTGCTTGCCCGGAATAAATGCCACGCTGTCGTCACACGGCTGACACGCTCGGCGCTCGTTGCTATGGCATCGGCGGCACAGGACGTTATACGAAAGGTCTTCACGGTGCCCGATATCCCGCGGTGGGTGCCACTCCACCATCACTGATGTCTGGTTGACGACTGAGACCACGTTACGAGGAGCCGAAGGAACACCTAGAGACAGATGATTGGGCGTTAGGAATTGAAAAAACACACGTGAAGCACGTGTTTCAGAATCTGCCAGATTAACTGTTCCACACCTGGATGCAATCAAACTTCATTATGGTGAGCACTTGAGAAAATAATTTGAATTTTCATTAGGCAGCGTCTACTTATGTCTGAAATATGGATGTTTTTTTTATTATCACAGGATGTCTGGTATTTTATAGCAAAGCAAGCTGTTGTGAAAGCAGAGAATCAATGCTTGTTTGGTGTGAGCCATTTTTGGAAACGTTTTAGTTGATGTATTATTACAGTAACAAAGGACACACTGACAGTAAAGGAGATATCTGATAGGACAGGACATTTATGCATTCATATGCTGGAGTATGACTGTCCTGTTATTGTTTCTTTTGTGATGCACATTTTCTAAAATGTTATAGAAACATTAAAAAAAATGAATTAAGGAAAATGCTGGATTCATTGTTTTGGGCAACCAGTGCCTTTATTGAAGTTGCAGTGTTGAAAGGGGGAGACACGCAAAAAAACGAACCTCAGCATTTGTACCAAGCCCCAGTACATAGGTCGCCATCTCATAAACTATAATTTAATACAAATGAAAAAGGCACATCTAACATCTGAACACAACACTTACAACTCTTGTGACAACAGAAAAGTACATCTCCCATCCTCTCTTGTGATCTTTCTCTTCACCCGATTTTGCCAGCATTATATTCAACATTAATTTAAGTACGGACAGTGAAGCACAATACTGGCATCAAAGTGAATAATCACATTTTAGCTTTAAGTGAGTGCTCCTTCAAGAAGTTAACCAGGATTCTTGTGTTCACTGAACAGAGAATATGAGGATGATAACTTTACTTCACTGACACTGCAGTACTGCTGCTACAAATGTGGAGAACTTATCCAACCCTGTCTCTCTCAGTCAGAAGGTGACCTAACAGCTCACCGCCAGCCAGAGAATCTTTTATTGTGTCACTATTCATTCAGTCACTCAGCTTCAGTCTCTCCTTTCTGTCAGCTCATCTCTTTGATCTGAGCAGAAACTCTGGCTTTCAGGGTGTTACAGCGAGTCTTAAACACACAGACAGAGTTTCACAAGGTTAAACCTAGCGGGTTCAATTCTCCTCTACTGTTCGTGCACATCACAAAGACCCACACAGACACAAACGCACGACGTGTGGGAACAAGAAATGAAGGCCATATTCAGCCTTGGCATATGTTACATATCAGTTTCATGAGAAACGTCTGAGATGGCCTGTGGAATAAATATATAATGAATGTGTGTATGTAATAGACCCACACTGCAGAATCACAGTGCTAACAGAGTAGCAAGTTGAAAAAATCAGTAGCATAATTAACAAGCCTGCAGAGAGAGGACCCGCCCACTAACTGCATTCATACAATAATCACCACAAATACTCACTTGATCTGAATAGCATTACTATAAAAAAGGCCTTATCACATTTTAACTGTCAATTTGAAATGCTGCGAGGAATTATCTGTACTGCAGTCCACCACTTTACTGCACGTCCTCACTGTGCTGTGAGTGGCTTTCACAGTTTCAATCTGAACTGTACCCAAAATACACTTTAAAAAAACCCACACACAGATGCAGTACTCACACACACCTCTTCTGTACCTGGAAATGATGATCTGTGAGGTTACTATCTGCACATTGCACTTTCATATCACCTATCCGAATTTATATATGATTGAGTTCTTACTAAATAAAATTGAACTGATGCTCCTCCAGTCATGCAGTTAAAACCCACATGTTTCATAGTATTTGTGTTAGAAAGGAAACCTTGTGACTCAATGTGTGTTTACCCTTGAATTAAAATTATCAAGGTAATCTACAAAGCTGCGTAGGCTAAGTAGGTTGACACATAACACCTTTTCTCTGGCAAAGTAGATGTTCTTCTCCTGTCAGCATCAATTTGAGAATGCTGCAGCTTGTTTAAGGTGAGGCTTTTCATGTGCTTTCTCTGTTGTCAGACAAGGTTAAACCCATAAAGTGTTCCATAACCACTGTGGAAAAATCCTTTCCGATGTCCCATCTGCAATAAATGATCAGTTGTGACACATGCAATGAGAACAAGTTTTTAGTGTAAGATCTGAAATGTGTGGGTGATAGTTCACCCTGTTTATTGCCTCTATTGATGTTTTCACGACCACTATTTTACAACAACGATGATTATACCTCTATGGCTTCTATCCCTCTGCATTTGACTTTCTCGTTAAGAGAGGAATATTTAAATCAAACTGAAGCAACTGGACCACTGTTGCTGGAAAATGTTGTTCTCGATATGCCTCTAGTACAGTTTGTCATTTTATTTTGTTTGCACTTTTATTGTCATTACAAAAGCTGCAGCCATGTAATGAAATGGTTTCTCTGCATTTGACCCATCCTAGTGTTAGCAGCAGTGGGCTGCCATTATGAACGGCGCCCGGGGAGCAGTGTAGGGAACGGTGCCTTGCTCAGGGACACCTCGGTAGCACTTGGTCTTGCCGGGACTTGAGCTGGTGACCTTCCAGTTGCCCAGTCCCTATGGACTTCGCCATAAAATTCACGCAAAAATTCAACCAACCCAAGGACTGCGGAATATTATATAACGATGATGGGGACTTTCAATACTGATCTCTATAGTATATGAATTTAATTGTCTTTGTTTTTTTTTTCCCAAACAGTCACAATGTCCCCCTAATATGAGACCACATGTCTCTGATTCCTTCAGTTGTTTATCTTTTTTTGATAAAACTCACGTTCAGAACCAATTACTTTGTTTTTTTTTTACTAATTACTAAATGCCGTTTAATACTTTTTAATAGCCTTAATTTTGGCTAAATTGATTTATCAACTTTTAATACTTTTTAAGACCCCGCGGACACCCTGTTATATCACTCTCCCATCAGCTGCGTCAATTTGTCTTTTTTTGCATTTGTTCATGTGGCAAATAATAAATGTTACCGTTTGCACCAAGAACCCAGTAGGCAGAACAAAAGCAGAGAGAAAAACATTTTCAGACCACATGCAGTGAGGAACTCCTCTAATCTTCATGAGAGGAAATTCAAATGTGACAGAGAGAATTTGAGTGTTTTTGCAATGTGGCTCATTTGCATGAAAAGGGGCATATTTTCATCAAATGTATGCATATTACTTTAATATGTGCAAACAGCACAGGAGCACTGAGACTCTATTTGCTTGACAGCGCAGGCAGGGGTGCATTTCACCGTTTGCAGGTGCAGTAACTCACTGCTTTTTTGTCATATTTGATGAGGTTCAGCAATCCTTTTGTAAATTGGAGCAAAGACTGTTTTTGGGTTACCTTTTATATATTCTTCAGGCAAAATGTTGCTAATTCATTCATGAATGTAAGAAAGTAAAATAATGAACTGCCCATGAATGAACCAGAGTTTTTTTTTGCTTTGAAAAACATCAAGTTGTATCCAGGTCACCAGGACTTGCACAAGCACACACAGTGTACACAGACTTATACACACACAGTTTCACAGTTTGAGACTAGCTTCAGAGACAGTCCAAAATGATTCATGTCTCAACCTACTTACAACATCTCTCAGTGGAACTGAGAGGCTGTGTTTTTCAAATTCTGTGCCTTGCCTCGCATAGCAATACAGCCTCTCCAACACACTAAACACATATTCACTTCAATGGAAAGCCTGAGGAGTGTGGCAGAGTTATTACTTACTGTTCCCTAAATCCCCAAAAGACCAAGGGAACATTGCGGCACACTCGCATCTGAATGAGGTGCATGAAATGATGGCTGGAATGATAAATCAAAGAATATATTGTCCTTTAATTTAATGAAGAGAAATTGGACTGTCAGTGATGTCAACCACTGATGTGTTTTAATATGTCAGCTGGTGGTTACTTCAGTACAAGATTGTCCCAAAGCATAATTACACTCACATTTCTAAGTGATTTACTGAGAATATATTTTTGGTTTTTTGAGTTAGTTTGACAGAAAGAGACTCACTTGTGCACACGTCCTCTGCTTTGTCCATGTCTCCACGGTAATATCCGTTGCGGCATCCACAGAGGGTGGCAGCCTCGATGGTGGAGCGACTGTTGAGTGGACATTGCTGACATAATCCTGCCCCCTGGAACGACTTAAAGGTGCCCTGAGGGCATGCTGAAGAGAGAGAGACAGAAAGAGAGAGAGACAGACAGAGACAGAGAGAGAGAGAGAGAGAGAGAGAGAGAGAGGAAAAAAACCACATTTAAAAAAGATGAAATCTCAGCCTCCTGAACATGAATCAATGCATCATGTAAGCTCTGTTTGTGCGCCTTTTGTTTGTCCTGATTGTAAGGCATTCGGCAGACTTTGTTTTCCAAAGACTTGTCCCCGGTGGAGTTATTACCGGTAGTGTAAGGTTGACAATTCACAGAAGGGGATTTTCTGAGAATAGCAGAACATCATCCTGTTCAACCAAGATAAACATCTTGTGTATGTCTACAGTGACACACTGATTATCCATGGTGTAGATTATAGTTTCATTTCTCGGGTTCGTTTATCTGGGTCACAGTTGTTTCTGCCCGAGTTATTCTTCGTGACATAAAACACATCTCAATTGTTAAAGATCATGTTCCCAGTACTTTTATTCATCTGGGAACGGCTTGTTCTGATTATACAGTACATGCTTGTTATTCAGCTTTTATATGAACCTGGGCTTTCATCATTTGCTGTGCAGTCCACTTGGGTAAGAGGAGCCAAATAATGGAGGTCTGAGTCAGTGTGTCACTGACTGAATTTAAGGTAACGGCTGTCTCACATCCACAGTGTTAAGGCTGCGTGAAGGCCCTCCCTTTTAGTCCATTTAATGCCAGTGGTCTTGTTATGTGTCCCTCTGCAGCCTTGAATTTGAGGAAGAAAAGAGCCCATTTCTAAAGCAATTACACTCCTCTCAGCTTTGTGGTTACTTCCACTGGATCTTGTGCATTTAATACCCATCTGTTACAAAATAACCTCGAGTTTCCAAGGTTTTTAACCAGTAAGTTCTAACTGTGTGTTTAGCATTTTTCCCTGTTCATTCAGGGGTGATCTTCAGGAAACATTTAAACAAAAATAACAGCACGGAAAACAGTAAAATAAACATCGTCATCACTACTGGACAGCTTCAAAACTGCCCATTCACATCACCAAAAAAAACACATTCTGGGATGCCACCAATATATGCATCATTCCCTTTCTCCCGCTAGTCTGCAGTCAGTGCGTTTGCTTTTTTTATTTTTCGCAAGCCTTTTCAAAGCAATAAAGCTAAATCTGCCATGGATAAAATGTCACAGACCAGAATCATGACTGCTGTTTTTGTATTAAATCTGCAATTTATATATATCATATCTGCTCTTTGAACAAAATAAAGCACATAGTGCTGCTGATCAATGACAGTCAGTTCTCTGTTACCTCAAAGATGTTTTTGAAACTGGATGTTTGCTGGGAATATTAATTTAACCTTCATTTCGCTAGGAGGGTCTCTTGAGATCAGAAAACCTGCTTTTTCGAGCGAGTCCTAGCCAAATGGTTAGCATAGTTTACAAATAATGAACAAAGCTCTCAGAATGCTGGATCTAATTAAAACTCAAGGACAGCTAGGCAACTGTTAATCTAATCAGTTATAGGCCTGTTTTTAGTGTAGAGTCATTACAATTATGTAACCTGTTTCAGGCATTTTGAAACAAGCTCCTGTTACTCACTAAACATTTCAAAGCAGGTTATTGATTGAACTCTTCAAAGCTCCAAATTGTGCAAAAACAACATAAGCACAGCAGCACTTCTACAGTACTACTGCTGACTGCATGACTGACAGCGGAAAAACCCCAGAGTATTTAATCTAGTTTGAATCGTCTAGTTTCATAATTTGTATTCTAGGATGACACTTGCTTTCAATTCACATATTTCATTTCATAAGTGCCTTTTTGGTTACAGCAAAACATTTAGAATTAGGACTAAAAAGTAAAACAAGAAAGCCTAATGAGAAACACAGAGGTGTCACAAAAGAAATTAGACAGAACAGAAAGCTCTGCCAAAAACCTGAGTGAAAACCAAATGAGGTTACCGGTACTTTCTTCCAGCTTTGATTAATCTTTAGCACTTTGTTTTCCTTTCCTCTGCTGTAATGCAAGTTTGTTTTATCTCTGTGATGCTTGAGATGCTTTAAGACCAAAATGCCAAACGTGTTACACAGATTTATGCGGAAGGCAGAGGAGGGGTTGCAGAAGCAGGCTACTGCTAAGTCCATTTAGACTGGAGTCCAAATCATAGCATGGATTGAGTGAAATAAGTAAATGAGACAAAGTGCTAGCCAGTTAAGAGCCTCCGTCTCACTTAATCAAACGCTAAAGGTTTTAAGGGTTGGGCAGATTGTGTTCAAAGAGAAAACATGGGGGAAACACTCAAGAAAAAAGACAAAATAAATTAATCGGAGGAGAATGAAACTGCTGTTTTTATTTCTCCCTCTCAGTATCACTATTTCTGCAGTATTGCTCTATTGTGTTCACTCTCCTGAAATGTTATAGTTATTTCTTGGTTTTTGCTGATGCATTTTTTCTAGCATGATCTACGGTGGAGGATGCTTTTCGTTGCCTCTGTGTTTTACTGCAGATTACATTGTGCACGTACCACAGAGCTTGAAGAAACTACTCGGATCTCAGGTATGAAGTACACTTCATCTCATACAGCGGGACTTGATCAAGCTTGTATTAAATTAACATCTTTACACATCGCTGGCCCCAAATGATAGCATGGTGCAACAACTTCCTCACTTTGAGAACTACAGATCTGCTCTCAGTAGAGTGCAGATGCTTGCAGTTGCTTTAATGTTGGATTGAACAAATTTAGATGATTATTATTTTTTCAACCAGGAATTTCCTGCAAGAGCTGAGCCGACCCGACCGTCTATACTTGTTGCCTTGTGTTGACCTTATAAACTCTGATTGACTGAGAACCTTTGGAGGCCAGGCTGTGTTCATGTTGTCGAAAAAGTAGAGGTTAAAACATTATCTCACTTCTTAATTTACTGTGATTTGACAGTTCTTCTTAATTATAAATAATATGTATCCTAAGTTTATCCATCCCCCGATTCTCAGAGACTTACATACCTAGATGCATAGAATGAGAGCACATTTAGTTTAGATTTGAGGCTGACTAGTTCAGCAGGTGATTGGCTGCGTAAAGACAGACAGAGAAAGCATACATTCTAAAAACAACAGACAAAGCAGCTACAATTAATATACAATAACATCAGACCAAAAACAGAATAATAAGAGTCAATATTGAACTTCAACTCTTAGTGGCCAGAACAAGGACTCCAAATAAATGATCTGCAAAAACAACTGTTTGCTAACTCAAGTTCGCCCTCACAACTGATGATTGGTCAGTTTTTTGCCAATCGTTTGTTAGCCAATTCAATTATTTATTTCTGGTTCTATGAGTAAAAAGCAGTTGGGCCAACCTGTACAGTAGCTTAAGGTGTTAAGACGCCGACCATGACTATGCATCATCCCAGTTTAGAGTCTGGAAAGGCAACACCAAATGCGACATGTGTAATAATGGATGACCAGTACTCCTCTCCGGAAAGCAGGTTTAAAGCACCCTTTAAACCTGTTGCAAAGAATGTATATTACTGGAAACAGTTTATACATTATTCCTTCTCCAATATTCTAATACTCAGCTAGTTTGTATATGTATACCTCAGTCTCCATTTTTATCAGAAATGTAAATTCTCCTTTTGCTCTATATGTCCATGTTACTTTACATGTATGTTAGTTTCTGTATATTGAGACATTATTTGAAGTCATCAATCAATTACGTGCCGTGTGTGTGTGTGTGTGTGTGTGTGTGTGTGTGTGTGTGTGTGTGTGTGTGTGTGTGTGTGTGTGTGTGTGTGTGTGTGTGTGTGTGTGTGTGTGTGTGTATATTGAATAGGCAGACAGACATCTGGCTTGTCAAGGGTATTTATTCAACAACCTTGCTCATACACGTGGAACGTGTCACCATGGCAACAAGTCTCTCAAGTTCTCTCTCCCGCTCTCTCCATATCTTGACACAAACACAGAGTAGCATTTGTTTTGTGTCACTGAATTCAAACGCACACCAATGATCAGAATTGGTTTATTGACTATGGTTTTGGTTTAAGTCGTCAGCATCTTGTGTTTTTTTGGAACCAGAAGTAATTCAACAAGGAGGAGCAAAGTTCAACTGAGCACTGAACAAGACATTATTAGGCCAACAAAATGTTACACTGAACTTTCATGAACTGAGAACCGTATTGAAAGGGCTAAAATTGTGAGGCGAAAATCATAAACTTTAGGAAATCTTTGCTTTTCATAGGGTAGTCGGGTCATTTTCTCATAGACTTCTATAAAAGTCAGACTTAACTTAAATTATTTATGTATACATAAATAATTTAAGTTAAAGGTAGGGTATGTAAGTTTGAGGAACCGGCTCGAGATCGCTAGAATTTGAAAATACACGACCGGAGAAAATCTGCCTACCTTTAAGTCTGAATTTTAAGAGAATACAAGTTTAAGGCACTTCCTCATTGGCTTCCTTTTTGCAGAGCCAGAGGTTGTACAAATGTATTTGCTGTGATTCAGTTGGATATTAATAGCTCATTTTGGGTCGAGAGAAAGGCGAAAATGAAAATGCTTTTTGAGGATGAACTGATGCACCTCAGAGGGCAGAAAAGATTATTCCCTCCGTTTCTCTGTTTAATGCCAGCTGTGTGGAGTCACACAGCAACCAAAAAACTCTAAGAGCCGTGTCAGCGCCACAGCAGGAGTACTTTGAGTGTATTCAATGGTAGTGCTGACATTTGTAGTGTGGTGCATTTGAAGTAAGGGTCTATTTGAACATTTTACCCCCCCCTACACACACGCACAGAAGCAAACACACTTTGAGTGCTTTGATGTTGGGCCAGTTTTGCCGGATGGTAAATATGCTGGTTTGGTGCAAAATAAATACAATCTTTGTGGCCTAACACACACACATGCACACACACAAATATGCAAAACACAACCATCTGTTCTAATACTGAGTCCAGTTTCCTGCCAAGTTGTTATCAACTAATGGGCAGAAGTGCACACCAAAAAGATGCCAGCTCTGTGAAGACAGTTGACAGAGGCTCTGGCCTGCAACATCTTAAATCACAGTTTAAGAACAAAAGTCTTGAAAAAAAACTCATGTGGAAGGTGTACGTACATGCCTACAGAAACTGTCAATTCACGACAAATCAGTCCGTCCAGTTAGACTTTTTAGTACAGCTGAGCAATTTAAACCTTATCGAAACACTAACCGCAATGAACATTTTGTTGTTAATGACATTTTAACTCTACATTCAAATATTAATATATGTTTTAAGATACATTGCTTGAAGACAAAACCCAGCTCCAACACAGAAATAATGCTGTTTCTAAACAATCATATGGCAGTGTTCAAGCAGCGCACTTCTCAAAGTACAGTAGGTACAGAGGGACTGGTAAAAAACAACACTTTCTTTTCATTTATATTGGCATAAATAATCAATTTATCACATGATATGAAAATCTTTATTGTGATAAAAGGTGTTGCAATATGTAATTAAGAGTTTTGTTTTTCAAGGGCAACAATAATAAGCTCAGTATCTTTCAGACCAAAGGAGTCGTAAGACTTTATACTTCCACATTTCACAGTCATTCTTTCCGCAGTGCAGTCATCATCACTGTAATATTGTCAGTCTTAATCACTGTCTCACCATGAATTGTGTCTGGCTTAGCTTTTACCAACTAAAATATTCCATGAAGAAAAAGTATTGCTGTGAAAATTGACACTGACACCAAAGGCAAATCTAACATTTATTGTGTTTCACTGGAGAAATAATTATATTCATCAGTCGCTTCCATCTTTATAACTTGTATCTCTCAGTTTTTTTACTTTCTGTCCTTGGTTTGTCCTTTTTTTTTTACTTTCTTGCTAGACGAACTCTCCTGAGGGCTCTCCTGCTTTACTTTATTTTCCTCCCTTCCTTCCTTTATTCCTTCCTACCTTCCTGATGCCCCTCCATCTCCTCGATGCTCTCTGGCAGTTCAGGAATAATTTGCGGCAGCCTAATCTGCCTTGAACACCCTAAACTAATTAACATGGGATGGAATGTATTCACTTATCATTTCACCACATGTACATACATCACACACACATGTATCCACACACACACATGTATCTCCACACACACACACACACACACACACACACACACACACACACACACACACACACACACACACACACACACACACACACACACACACACACACACACACAAAACTCTCCAGGCAGGATAATAAATGATGAGTAGTCTTGCAGAGGAAATGGGGAAGGAGGGCAGATATAAAAAGGAGGTAACAGACTATTTATGTGCCATGTTCACCCGAGTCTGTTCCCACTAATATGAACATTTAGAACATTGCGTACCGTTGGGCAAAAAAATAAAAAAACGTATAAATGCATGTGTCTAAACAGCTAGGACTGACATGCATGATACTATATATCCTATTTTATTCAGAGTGTAGTTCAGCTGGTAAACCAAGCCAGGATGTAATTATGGCACATTTGTCATAGTGACTGGAAAACAAAGAGTATATATATACACAATTTTTTCAAAAAGGTATTTTTCATGTAATATAATATGTAATATTTGAAACAGGTGAGTTTTTTTGATTGATTCTGGCATACAAAGCTAAATCTGGCACTGTTACGCTTGATACATTTGAATGTTTTAAGTGTTCATTACTGTGCATTGTCCCTGCCAAATAAACGACTACCGGTAAATAAATAAATAGTTAGCCTTTACTACAATATGAAACGCAAGTGCGACAAGGTCATCAGAACAGGTTTGAAGAAATACAAATATAAATAATTTAGCATACATAGCATTCATGCACAGATTTACCTCTGCAAACGTTGCCATTGTCCGGTTCAAACCCCGCCTTGCAGCTGCAGCTGCCGATGGGCACCATCCACTCCCCATCTCCATTACAGTAGAGCTTTATGGGCACGTCGACTTCCTCAGCGTTGGGAATACAACTTCCTCTAGCAATGACTAATGAGGTGGACTCTGCTCCAGTCAGTGTCTGTTTAGAAAATCATAAGAAATGTCTACTTGAATTTCTGTATACACCAGCAGCTACACCACATTCTGATAATAATAGCACACAGTTTTCAGTTTCTGGTCCATACCTCTGGGAAAAAAGCGAAGTTCTGAACCACGCTGGGACATTTCTTGTAAAACACTCTGACAGCCAGGAGGGACATGCAGGCTCCAAGGTCCTGGAAGGCCAAGTGGAAACCTTTGCCTTTGGACAACGGTCCGAAACTCCTAACTTCTGTGTTCACCTTCATTAGTCTTCCCCCAAAATCAACCTGGGAGAAACTCTCATCTGCTGCGATGGTGTCCACCTTACATTGACATACAGAGAGAGGGAAGGTTAGCAAAGCCAGAAGAAAGCAAGGGGAGTTAAAAAAAGGTTTTACTGTCCCTGATCTTTTTTTATTACTTTAGATACAATTATATTTGAAATATTTAGATAAGTAATGTTTGGTATTTTCTGTATAATACAGAATAACCTCATTTTGCTTAGAGTTTAGTAATGATTTGCTCTTTATTTATGTAGTGAACCTTGACAATAGCCCCAGAGAAGGCTGCTAGGAGTTTTACAGCACTGGGAAAAACACAAACACAGGCAGTTAGATCTTTCTAGACTTTGATCAATTAACCTTGTCGATTCTTAATCAATTTGGGAATGATTAAGTGTTTTCTTCTGGATTGAACATTGTGCATAATGAGTATCATTGAAATGTTATTTTGAAAGGCACATTTTTAGTGTGGCAAATACTTCCAAAGCCAGAGTCTTCACACTTTTCAATACCTTAAGGAAAGGGGCATTGGCCCAGTACTCCACCCCTTTGATGCCCTCTGACACGGCCCTCTCAGTCTCCAGGTAGTACAGGTTGAAGGTCTCCTTGCAGGAGCCCAGGACGCTGGGGATGGAGGCGCAGTCGCGGACGGTGAAGCGGATCTCCACATAGATGCGCTGCGCCGCCCGCCGGTCGATGTAAGTCGTGAGAAGCCAGTTGTTCTGGCTCGGCTCAAACACGTTGCACACCTGGTACGTCCTGATGGTGTTGAGGTTCTCATCATAGCCGCTCACCTCCTCCCACTGGGGTGTGTGTGTGTGTGTGTGTGTGTGTGTGTGTGTGTGTGTGTGTGTGTGTGTGT